TGTTGTTTGGCGGGTCCGGGCTGGGGATTCGAACCCGCCACCTTAGGTGTACGTGGCTGGCGCCTTAGCTGGTTGAGCTATAGGCGCCGAGCCTAGAACTGTTTTAAATTCAGTTATTTGGTGAAGTTCCAGAAGAGAAAGGTGACATCAGAAAAATTATCAAAAGCTATTTAAAGCAGCTCTAAGATGGTTTCTCTTTCTCTTTTTCTCCCTCTTTTTCTTCTATAATTGAGTCTTACCTTTAATCTTTGAAAGGTTAGAAAATAAATTGATTTTTAAATATTGAAAAAAAATCAGGCCTTCTTTCTCTTTTTTCAAACACGTTGGACAAGTCACGTGTTTAAAATTTGTTCTTGGCTCAGTGTCTGTAGCTCAAGCAGCTAAGATGCCAGCCACATACATACATCAGAGCTGGTGGGTTCGAATTCAGCCTGAGCCTGCCAAACAACAATGACAACTACAATCAAAAAATAGCTGGGCATTGTGGCAGGTGCCTATAGTCCGAGCTACCTGGGAGGCTGATATAAGAGAATCGCTTAAGCCCAGGAGTTTGAGGTTGCTGTGAGCCGTGAGGCCATGGCACCCTACCTAGGGCAACAGCTTGAGGCTCTGTCTCAAGAAAAAAATAAAATAAAATAAAATTTGTTCTTATTTATTGGTTTTGCAAAAGAAGGTATCATCATGCACAGTATTTGTAATTAGAAGCAAATCGTTTGTTTAAAAGCAGTTTGCGAAAAAGGTATGTTTTTGGTCTTTTATAATTCTCATTAAAAAGATATCTGGCAAATTAAAAAAAAAAGGATGTTAGGTATTTGATAATTTAGTTGAAGTCATTTGCTGTGGAAAAATGCATACTCAGGTATGCTGAGTGCTATTGCCAGTATTGTGAGTGCTTTCTTCAGTTACTTTTGTAAAAAGAATAAGAAACAGATGAAGGTTGACTCTTCAGAAAAATTGATTAAACCACGAGAAAACAGTAACATACTGATTTTGTATGGTACTGTACATAAGTATTTTTCTGTGTTTTGATTATGATTTTGTATGATTTTTCTAATAAAAGTTGTATAAGAAAGTAAAGTACATGTACAAATCAGTACAGTAGACTTGGTTCTTTATGTCAGCCACCTCCATGTGTTGACCAGATTGGTATAGTCCCTTCGGTGGTTAACTTACAGAGGTTCTTTTTCTTTTCAAGTGTACCTGAAACTTGAACTAAAAGAGACTGTAGGCTAGATTGTCAAGCAGTCCTTAACAGATTTCAAAGATTGAAATCATTGAGAATATGGCTCTCTGACTACAATGGGATTAAGCTAGACATATTTACTAAAAAGTAACTAGATAATTATAAAATATATATTTGGACACTAAGCAATGCTCTGTTTTTTGTTTTTGTTTTTGTAGACAGAGTCTCACTCTGCCATGCTGGGTAGTGTGCCCTGGCTAGCTCAGAGCAACCTTGCACTCTTGGGTTCAAGCAGTCCTCATGCCACAGCTTCCCAAATAGCTGGAACTATAGGCACCCACCACAGTGCCCAGCAAGTTTTCCTGTTTTTAGTAGAGATAGGGTCTCATGCTTGCTCAGGCTGGTCTTGAACCCTTGAACTCAGACGATCCATCCACCTTGGCCTTCTAAGAGTGCTAGGATTTACAGGCTTGAGCCTCCACACCCAGCCAGCAGTGCTCTTCAAAAAGACCTATGGATCAACAAATGAAGGAAATTTTAAATAGAGTATCTGTATAACTTCTGTGTAAGCAAGTATTTTTTTTCCATAGGACACAAGAAAACAAAATTAGGGCAAATATATACAAATTGTACTATAGTAAAATTATGACGTTCTCTTTGAAGACATCTCTTCATCAAAAGACACCATTTACAGTGAAAAAGCAAAACAGAGTAGAAGGTATTTGTAGTACACATGTCATATAGACAATCATATAGACACTAAAGCAGGCACTCCATAAAAGACAATAACATAGCCATTGAACATTTAAGAGAAAAATGTTTTAAACTCATTAGCATTTTGAATATTCAAATTTAACCACAACAAATTATGAATATAAATCCTCTTGAATGGTTTAAACCATATTTAACTTTGGACAGTTACTTGACATTATCTATTAAATCTGAATGTATTCATATTCTTTTTTTTTTTTTGAGACAGAGCCTCAAGCTGTCCCCCTGGGTAGAGTGCTATGGCATCACAGCTCATAGCAACCTCCAACTCCTGGGCTCAAGTGAGTCTCCTGCCTCAGCCTCCCAAGTAGCTGGGACCACAGGCGCCCGCCACAAGGCCCGGCTGTTTTTTGGTTGCAGCCATCGTTGTTTGGCAGGCCCGGGCTAGATTTGAACCCGCCACCTTAGGTGTATATGGCTGGCGCCTTAGCCACTTGAGCCACAGGTGCCGAGCCTGTATTCATATTCTTGATCCAATAATTTCACTCTCAAGCATATTCCCAGTAGTAATATATGTATACCAAAGAAATACATAAGAATCTTTATACCTGCATTATTTGTTAAAGCCAAAAGCTAGTATTTTTTTTTTTTGACAGCCTCAAGCTATCCCCCTGGGTAGAGTGCCGTGGCTTCACAACTCACAGCAACCTCCAACTCCTGGGTTCAAGCGAGTCACCTGCCTCAGCCTCCCAAGTAGCTGGGACCACAGGCACCCGCTACAATGCCCGGCTATTTTTTTGGTTGCAGCGTCTTTGTTGTTTGGTGGGTCCAGGCTGGATTTGAACCTGCCACCTTAGGTGTATGTGGCTGGTGCCTTAGCCACTTGAGCCACAGGTGCTGAGCCCAAAAGCTAGTATTAACACAAATGTCCATTGACAATAAAGTGCATAAGTAAATTTTGGCATATTTATGTAATGGAATACTATGCTGTAATGTGATTGAACTATCAAATAGTACTACAGTCAACACCCCAGATGAATTTCATGAAGAGCAAAAGAAGCCAGATACCTGGCTTGGCACCTGTAGCTTCAGTGGCTAGGTTGCCAGCCACACAGACTGGGTTCAGACCCGGCCTGGGCCTGCCAAACAACAGTGACAACTACAAAAAAAAAAAATAGCTGGGTGTTGTGGTGGGCACCTGTAGTCCCAGCTACTTGGGAGGCTGAGGCAAGAGAATAGCTTAAGCCCAAAATTTAGAGGTTGCTGTGAGCTGTTATGCCATGACACTCTACTGAGGGCCACATAGACTATGTCTCAAAACAAAAACAAAAAAAAAAGAAGAAAAACAATAGCTGCCAGATAAAAAAGAGAAATTCTATATGATTTTTAAGTAAAATTTATATTTATAAATTAATAAAAGTTTAAAAACAGACAAAGCTAATCAATAATGATAGAAATTAGGGTAGTAGTTATATTTAGCTGGGGGGAGTGATTAGGAAGCACAGAGGGGACCTCTGGGTTGCTGGTGTTCTGTTCTTGGTCTGGGTGGTAGTGACAAATGCATGTTCACTTTGTAAAAATCAATTGTACATACATGATTTATGCATTTTCTATTAATGTATTAATGTTATATTTCAATGAAAAATTTACCTAAATAAAAAGAAGCCACCACTTGTCACTCTTCCTCTTCTTTCACAAAAGGAGTGAATCAGTAGATCTGAGGTAATTGTTAGGCCTAGGCTATGATGGAAAAATATCAGCTAACTCCTGGCAAATTTCCGGACTGCAAGCTTTCAAAAAAAGAAATGAAATAAGTCTAGTTCACCCCCAAGATAAACGGGAAAGTACTCGTTGATTTCTTGCTTCTAGTTCACTCCCAGTTTCTTGCTTAGCTAACTCCCTGGGAAATGAACTGGGAGGCACACACTGTTCCCGGACTGACCTTTAAATAACACCAGGTAGGGAAAATACTGAGACTAAGATGTATGGGGGAAAATATTAAAACAAAAATGTTTGATGTATGGCTAACTGCAAAATTCTGCTTCTATACAATGTTTGCTTGCTACCCTACCTGGATACACCTGAACAGCCTGCATGTCAACCAGGATGCAGACCAAGCCTTAAAAACCTGACCCCTTAAACACTTGGGGCTGCTCTCAGAAACCTCGTGTTGGGACACTAAGGCAGTTGCTAGCCGGCTCTTCAATAAAGGGACTCTGCTGTGAATTCAGCTTGTTTGGCAGTGTGGTCTTTGTGGAACTCCTAGGCTTAAGAGTAATCACAATAATTATTAGGAAATTTGAAATCTTACAGGCTTAAAAAGATTGTTAACAAGCAAAAGAGAGTGTTGTAATAAGTAAAGTGAATAATTGTATAAATGAATTTTGGCATCTTATCTGAAAGTTAAAAAAATTAAAATTACTAATAAGCCTTCAGTTATTGTTCTCTATTATAAAAGTAACTCTGACTTTGTAAATTTTATAAACACAAGATTTAAGCTCTGAGCTACATTAAATTTTTTTCAATGAAAACTTCTATGTTAAAAAACATACATATTCTGGGTGGCACCTGTGGCTCAGTGAGTAGGGCACCGGCCTCATATACCAAGGGTGGCAGGTTCAAACCCGGCCCCGGCCAAGCTGCAACAAAAAATAGCCAGGTGTTGTGGCAGGAGCCTGTAGTCCCAGCTGCTTGGGAGGCTGAGGCAAGAGAATCACCTAAGCCCAGGAGTTGGAGGTTGGAGATTGCCATGGCACTCTACCAAGGGCAATAAAGTGAGACTCTGTCTCTAAAAAAAAAAACCCTTTCCCCCCCAAATAAATAAATAAATAAATATTCTGTGACCACAGGCCGACTGTGCAGGAAGATGGAGGAGATGTTATCTATAAAGGCTTTGAAGATGGCATTGTACAGCTGAAACTCCAAGGTTCTTGTACGAGCTGCCCAAGTTCAATCATTACTCTGAAAAATGGAATTCAGAACATGCTGCAGTTTTATATTCCAGAGGTAGAAGGTGTAGAACAGGTATGCCAGTATTACTATATGACAGTTTAGGTTTAATATTAAGGTAAATATTTGAAAAGACGTTCATGACCTAATTTTTTCTTAAAAGTCTAGATGTTCATGTTGTAATTTTTATTAGACTTGAAATCTTATTTTAGAACTTTAATGTTAAGAGAACCTACTACTTGCCAGGCATTTTTATAAATAATTACCTCATTTAATTTTCTAATAATATGGTACACTGAGTAATTCCCATTTTGTATATAAGGAAACTGCGACTCAAAGGTTATACTGTTGTACAAAATGATGTACAAAAATCATGAAAAGGGGATTCAAAACATGCAATTTTTATAGATGAAATTTATTTTTATATATATATATATTTTTAGTAGCCTTTATTTTTAATACCTATTATGCCATGAGTTCATAGGGAAAATGTTCCAGCATCTCAGGGAGAGGCCTTTCCATTGAATATGACAAGCTTTCTATATGCCTATTATGCCATGAATTCATGGGGTATAGGTTCCAGCACTTTATGCTTCTGTTCAACTGGTTCTCCTGTGTGCTGTGCTGTATACCTGTTAAGCTGTGAATTCATAGGGTATAGATAAAATTTAAAAGTCTTTAAGGCCAGGTGCAGTGGCTCATGCTCATGATTTTATTTTATTTTATTTTTTATTTATTTATATATTTTTTTGAGACAGAGCCTCAAGCTATCCCCCTGGGTAGAGTGCCATGGCCTCACAGCTCACAGCAACCTCCAACTCCTGGGCTTAAGCGAGTCTTCTGCCTCAGCCTCCCAAGTAGCTTGGACCACAGGCGCCCGCCACAATGCCCAGCTATTTTTTTTGGTTGCAGCCGTCATGGTTGTTTTGGCGGGCCTGAGCTGGATTTGAACCTGCCACCTTAGGTGTATGTGGCTGGTGTCTTAGCCACTTGAGCCACAGGCACCCACCCCATGCCCATGATTTTAGCACTCTGGGAAGCCAAGGTGGGTGGATTGCTTGAACTCAGGAGTCTGAGACCAGCTTGAGCAAGAGTGAGACCTTGTCTCTAAAATAGTCAGGTGTTGTGGTAGGGGCCTGTAGTCCCACCTACTTGGGAGGCTGAGGCAAGGGGATTGCTTGAGCCCAAGAGTTTGAGGTTGCTGTGAGCTAGCATGCCATGACATTCTACTCCGGGCAACAGAGTGAGACTCTGTCAATCAATTAAATAAATAAAGTAAAATTCTTCAGTGGAAGAGCTCCACTACAGTATATTTATCTGCTTCTTGTTCTTATGTTTATCCACGTCTTGTTCTTAACCAAGCTGGCAAGAAGCTTGTTGAGAAATAATATTTTGTTGTATGTAGTATAGTAAAACAGAATACTGAGTAGGGAGGGTTCTAGGGCTTTATAGCATGATACCAACTTTTTTTCTGCCAACATACCTAAGGTATATAACACAGCATCAGATGCTCAGCGGTAATAGTGACTCTCAGTGCAGTGATTCTCAGCCAAGAGTCAGCCTCATTAAGAGAGATTATCAAGGAAGGAAAGAACGTGTAGAAATTAGAAAGTTGAAAAAACATCTTTGGTAATTCTGTGTCCTTAATGACTGTTTTGAGAGTCACTCATCTCTGGGTAGTATTAAAATTCATCCTTGAAGTTCTTATCAATTCCCCACTTGGAATTAAGTTCTTCTTAGGTCCAAAATTTCTTGCAGTATGTCTGTTTTGCTTTATGTTTATGCAGAATTTCTCTAAGAGACTTGAAATCATGTATAGATTTTTGTATTCCTCTGTAACCACTAGCCCTGTGTCTTTTTTTTTTTTTTTTGAGACAGAGTCTCACTTTGTCACTCTTGGTAGAGTGCCATGGCGTCATAACTCACAGCAACCTCAAACTCTTGGGTTTAAGTAATTCTCTTGCTTCAGCTTCCCAAGTAGCTGGGATTACAGGCACCTGCCACAATGCCTGGCTAGTTTTTAGAGATGGGGTCTTTCTCTAGCTCAGGCTGGTCTCGAACTCGTGAGCTCAGGCAATCCACCTGCCTTAGCCTCCCAACTGCTGGATTACAGGCATGAGCCACTGTGCCTAAACCCTGTGTTCTATAAATGTCTTATATGTACTTTGTATTAAATAAGTATTGGGGAATATTTTTGCAAATTAAATTCTTTGGATCAGGTATTGGCTGAGATTGGATATAAAGTATTAATTCCTTGAAAGTAATACTCATTTTTGCTCAACCCAGAAGATATATTGTGAAAGAATTTTTTTCCCGTCGTTCTTACATTATCTTCTATGTGCCTTTTTAAAAAATTGCTTTTTTTTTTTTTTTTTTTTTTTTTGAGACAGAGCCTCAAGCTGTCCCCCTGGGTAGAGTGCCGTGGCATCACAGCTCACAGCAACCTCCAACT